CATTGCATTCAATTTAGCCTAATTTCTTGATAATAGTTTCCTATTAGATTTTCTGATTAATACTGATGGTTCTTACCTAGGCTGTGATAATTAGGTTTTGATCTATTGTGACATTAATGATCACAATCAGTTGACTTTGAAATTGTCTTAATTAATGGCTCTTCCCTCCTCAGCTGCCTCCAGTGCAGGTTCTGTCCCCTCCCCCAACCATCTTGTTTTAACTCTTTTTTTCTTACTGATCCCAGAGACAAATACCATTAAGAATCACTTTCTTCCCATAAGCCAAGATTTTAAACTATTTTAAAACATCTCTCTGACAGAACAACAATATGAGATGATGAAATGAGGATCAGGATGAAAAGGCAAGAGAACATGCTGTCAAAGCATAAAAAAAAATTTCATGCCAGAAAACAACCAAAGTCAAGCATGATATTAGAGTGGCAATGACAAGCTGAAGCTAACTCTAAAAAGACAAGATGAGGTAGTTTAAAATTCAAGAAATCCAGCGCAAGCACAAAGAAATTAGAATTGTTTTATGAAGCTATCCACAGAACCTTCACATTTTAACTTTCCAGAACAATTACTCTTCATTCCTGGGAATTCTGACTTCCAAAGTTAGTCAACTCTGTGGTTACACAGTTCAGAATTAAGAAACTTCTTAAAGTCAGACTGTTTCTTAGCAGGGCTGGGCCTCCCTCTAGACTTCCCTAGACTGCTTAAATCTGAAACGCCAGGGTATGTGCACTTCCAGGAGAGGTTTTCACATAACTGACACACGTCTGCCTAGAAATCACCACCTTGCAGTGCTGAATAAAACTACATTGCACAGAGTAGATGCTCACATGTTAAGACCTGCACCTCCAAGCCTTCTTTTGAGCAAATCCCTTGTCACTGAAAAGTATGTCCTCTGTTTAAGGCTTAAAGCCAACCTCATGTTAATTTTTCCAAAAGGGATGAGAAACTGAAAAAGGTGTGAGCAACTCTGATAAAATGTCCGAGAGGAATAAATGTTATAGAACCCACGATAATGTAACACCACAGAACTGTATTTGCAACACAGAATACTTTCCACAGGCAACGATTAACTAGACCATTAAATACTTTGGCAAAGAGCCCATAACAGGGATCAAAATAAGGGGCTCTCAATCCCCATTCACGTTATTTTCTCTCTAAGCAACAGCACTGCTAACCAACCTTCAGTTATCCTTATTTTCTAGAATAAAACAAGCCCTTGTTGTAGTCCATCTATGGCCAGTTAGCTCAGTTCATCCAAGGTCCAGGTCTACCCCCTGTGAACCATCACCCTCCTACTGTCCCCCCACAGAAATGTGTACCCAATTGCAGCATTTACTACATTGAACTATTAACAGTCAGTTCATCACACATCAGTATGAAAGTTTTTTGAGGTCAGGGACTGTATCTTCTTGTACTTTGTACCCCCAAGGTCAAAAAAATGCTTGTGGAGTAAAATGAATGTTGATGCACACTAAGATGGCCGCAGTGTGGACAGCTCAATACAAATTCACCACTATTAATTGGGTGGGGACACTGAATTCTGAGCATATCGTATACTACTGGGTGCAAGGCTGGTAACATCTCTGTTTTTGAAAATGTAACTTTTATCATTAGCCATAAAGCCAGCATGAAACTAGAATACACTGGATCAAAACCATTTGTCTCTCCACCTAGCCACAGGTATGTTTGCTTGGTCATCTGATTACAAAGGTACAGACCTCCACACTACAATTTTTCATCTAAAAACCTAAACCAAAAGGATGGAATCACAGATGCAAAATGAGCTTTTCCTTTGACCTCACTGGTGAGAAACAACCTCTACATTTCAAATCTAATGCCCTAACCCGGCCTGGGGTTCTCATGTCATTGGAAGGCAGTATTTTAGGCCCTCGAACTCAAACCCTAAGGGCAAAGACAACTGCTCCCCAGCCCAGACACAGGATAGATCCCTCTGACTCCTACTGTACTTTCAGTGAACTGGACTAAACACAGATCCAAAAAATGGCATGATGAAAATGCCAAGTACCTTCCAAAAAGCCCTAGGATCTGACCCGAACAGCAGGAAAATGGACTGTAGGGTAGCCACAGAACAAGAATGAAGAGAGTTAAGAATAACCTAACTGTTCAAGCTATGGACATAGGACTAACCTGTCGTCACGAACAAAGAGCAGTACACAGATATGGCTGGGGGACAGCCAAGGACCACCTAGACTTGTATTAAGGAACCACCACAGGCTCAAATGCTCCCTTGGGCAGACAAAAACTGGACTGTGGGAGGAAAAATGATATGGCTCTCTCCAGGTTAAAAATGGGTGCTTTCATCAGGGCTGATGTTCCTAATGGCTAATCCTAACATGAGGGTACTGGCCCAGTGCAGGACTCAAAAAGCAGCTACAATGACCTTGGTAAACTCTGCTCTGCTACCTCCTATGGAAAGGGAGATCCTTGAACATTGATTACATTGATTACTAAAAGAAATTCAGCATTAGAAAGATGATTTGGAAGAAGACTAAATAAATACAGCAAAAATGTGCTTCAAGTACCATAGACCTAGATGTTTAAGAGTGCTTAGCCCATGGCTACTAACTCTTCTGAGGAGAAAGCCCCATAAAGACAGATTTCCATTTGAGGCTGCAATTGTGCAAGGGCCAGGAGAGCTGCTCAGAACTAACAAATGCCGGAGACACAAGGCAGGCATCTGGTTTCCTTTCTGCTGAGGGCTAAAACCAGAGCTGGCCTCTGGGTCCCTACATTCCTACAGAAGCAGTTGTGGGTAGGCAGGGAGAAAACAACTGTTCTGGCAGCATTCCGTACAAGATCATGATTCAGTAAACTATGAACAGAAAAGATGGAGTGAAAAGTGAGATATTAAAAAGCCAACAAGTAGATGGTACTTCCTTTGCTAGAAGAAAATCACATTTTGATGAATGTCTTAAATATCACCTATAACCACAGCAAACACGTGCCCCAGCTTTTTTAGGACTTATCTCAGCACCAACTAATTCTGTTGTTTTCTTTGTTCACATGTTGATTTTGGTCTGAAAAACAGTCACTGTAGTTTACATGCCTACTGCCCCTGGGAGACACAAACTGGCTCTGTGGACAAGCTGTCATTTTCTCCACCTGCAAATCAACAGGCCCAGATTACCTCCTCGGGGGCTCTGGCCTACTTCTGTCTTATTCTTGTCTACCCTAATTATATCCTTGGCTACTTGTATGACAAATCTGTTTCCTGACTATCCTTTCTTTCTTTCAAATGCCCATCAGATTAAGTACTAACCAACTGTCAATTATCTAGCACTCGATCTAGGCCTTGAATTCTTTCAGAGTAAAGAAAGATGGAGATTAAAAACTCCTACCCACTTGAGGTATGGGTTAGGAGTTCTCACCCAATCACATTACCATTCAGAAGGATTTTCCTGGGTGACTTAAACCAAAAGCTTCATTGTTCCAGTCTGTCATGTCACTGCAGCAACAGCTGTCTTCTCAACTGTGCAGTGTAATTTTTGACATAATTTATACAAGCACACAGAATTCAATCAGCAGCTGAGCAGGAAAGCAATGGTAACAAATGCTATGAATGGGTATATGATTTGCATATTATTCAGCTCATCTGTGGACTGGAGCAATCTATCCATTCCCGATTACTCTAAATAATCTAGAAATGGCTGACTGCTCCTGGCCAGAAAGCTATATGTTTTAAAAATCAAAAGCAACAACAAAAACAACCTCAATGGCTGGTGAAATCTAGAGTTAAGGCTAGTTCAAGCATTTATTCTTAATTCCTCAGCTTTGGACTGGGACACAGATGCTCATAACCCTGCTATTTCCTTACTTTTAGTCTTGATCTTCTAGCCAACCCCCCACCCCCAACTAAAAGAAAATGGCTAAAGAGAAGTAGGGCATTTCTTGGGGGGAAAAGGATGGAAGGATAAGATTAGGTAATCATCTCTCAATATAATGGCAAAGCAGAAAGAAGCAAAAGGGAAATACTCTGAACAGGGACAGGTGGTTGTTGTCAACATGCTAATGCCAGGGCCTGTCACTCTGAGGCGACAGTCTTCCACATAAACTTATTTTTAAAAATAAAATACAACAAAGAGTTTGAGGGTGGAAAAAGGGAAGAGCAGTAATACTTTGGGGAGTCTTGGTGGCAAATCCAAGAGTCAACAAAGCAAGAAATTTACGACTACAAACGCTATGAATATTTAAAATTGATACTGTGGCTGATGGCTCCCCTCCAAGAATTCCCCACAGAAAATAATGGCATGAAGGGGAAACTTGGGTCCACTGAGAAGTGAGGGTCAGGTCTGAAGCCTCTTTGGTACCAGGAATGCTTTGGGAGGCCACAAAAGCTGGCAGGGCTGGAGGGTGCCTAGCACCTTGGCACAAGCAAGCACCAGGCAGTCACTCACACCTACATAAATATATAGTCCAAATGTGAGGGATGAAGGAAAAAATACATATATACCAAAGGTGATCATAAAGACAACTGTATCCTACCCCATCATCCTCATGTACGAATAGCTAAAAATCTCCACAGTTCATAATTTGTCATTTTATGACAGACTACACCACCTTGCAGAAGCAGAATCAGGGATTGCTATGAAACAAGGCCAAAAGTCCTAGGGCTAAGAGTGTCTTGACAAATCTGAGTGTAACATTTCAAGTCCTCCAAGGAATGGAGCTATTCTGGGAGGATGAGTGGAGACGAACAGCAGAGGGTGGCCCAGACGACCACACCAGGAACCCTGTATTCTACTGGGTAAGCTGAATGAGGTTGGGAAGCCCCAACAGGTAGGCAGTTGCTACTGGCTTTTTAAAAAAGATGGGAACATCTTTTCCATCCCAACATCTCAAAACAAAAGCTAGCTGGTCATCAACATGTTCTAAGAACCAAAGCAAGAAACCAAAACTCATCATCATTGTAACAAAATCCCCCAATCTAAAAAGCAACCAACCCTGAAAAGATCAAGACTCTAAGGTGATTAAAAAGTTAAAACTCATCTTGAGGTCACAGGGAAGCAGAAGGAAGAGATAAGGGCAAAGGAAAATATTGTGGGAATTACACACAGTATGTAAATGCCTGGTCTTCACAGAGAGACACTTATCATGAATCAGACCATCAGTTATGTTACAAGAGAACCAATACCAACATTTCTCCTGTGGAGCACAGTGATAAGCACATTTTTTATGGATGTGTTTAGGATAGAAGGGGGTGGGCAGAAGGGAGAGGAGGCAGGGAGGTGAATATATACAAAGAGAAATGACAGAGACCACCCCCTCCTTTAGCTCTTTGCTGTTTCTTTCTCTTTGTTTTCCGCATCCTCCGGATATGCGTGCCATGTCAGTCTCTCTTCATAAAATGCTATCACAATCTGTGGACATTTGACATTCGCTTCTTTTGCAAGAACCAGGTCTGCTTCATCTGTGTCTTTCCTGGAGAGAGAGAATATGAGACTTAGAAGGAGAGGAAGTGAGAGTGAGAGAGAATCTACTTAAACCAAGGTTTATATTGTTATGAGTTTAACCGACTTGATTTCCTCTCCGTCTTGATTTCAAGGTGAGAAGGACCCTAACAGCTCGACATTTTCTAGGAGAAATTCAAGCGAATAAATTATCAGTGAGTATCATTTAACTACCACATCAGACGGAACCAGAAGTCTTCAGCTAGGACTTAGATGAAAAACATAGCAGGCTTAATCAAAAGGCTGAAAATGAAGTTATATAAATTTACTCCTATAATTTTGATTTGTAGGTACTGAGTGAACACAATCAAACCTACACTCAGTCCTATTGATTATGCACAGAATGTTCAATCCAGTTTCCGGATCATCTGAGTGAAAGGGTCTTAACCTTCCTCATCTTGTGGCCTTTAAACACTCATTATCCTTTCGGTGAGAACTATGGATTGGAATAATAAGAAAACAGAAACTCAAGTCTACAACAGTATTCACATATGGGAAAATAAGAGAGAATGTAAAATCTAGTCACTAAAGTGAAATGTAGGAATTAGCTGCAAATTTCAATTATCCAAGTTACAAAGGCTCTACTACCATATATAACAAAAAAAAATGTAGCAAGTCCCTTAACCAGTATTCCAAACTGAGAAAAAAAAAAGTATCGTAAATTAAAATTCCACTGAGATTTGAGCAAAGACAACTACCTCCCTTTTGAGAAAACTGAGAGGTTTAATTCATAGAGGTAAGTATTATGAGTGAGGAGGAGGAGGGGAAAACACACAGCTCGGAGCAGACACTCAAATTTGGACTGTGGTGGGAAAAAAAGCTAGTTAGTATGTGAATGTAAATCATAAGTAACACATATGGCTGAGTGGGAAAAAGAGTCAGTACAGCTCCTTACTTCTGACAGAGTATAATGATTCTTCAAATCGAGGCTTCTGGGTAATTTCCCAGCAAAATTTCGATCAGATAAAATATTAAACCTTTTGATTCTACAACTTTAAGGTAAATTAGCTTCCTCAGTGGCAATGCAGCATGAAGCCTCTATTTAGAGACCGAATTTAAATCATAAGCCCAGAACACTTGGAAACAGAGAGGCAGTGAGGGCCACACCATAAATCTCACCCTGTCTTTAAGAAACCCAATTGAGGGGAAGTAACTACGCTTTCCTCTAAGAGACGCCCCCTCCACCGGATGAAATAACTTACACTTTGGCTAGTATTAGTCTTAATGCTTTTTGTTGAGATTATTCTTTAGACATTATTCAGTTGTTCTGATCCTCAGTGATGGCAGAAAGCCTCACTCAACTCCTATCTTATGGCCACAGGCTCATGGTCTGACGGTAAATGATTCAGAACTGTGTAAATAAATGGTTAGGTCATGTCTATATATGTTTCCTACCTCTAAACTATCTTAGGTACTGGGGCTAAAATAATTTGGCTTAACACCAAAGCCTGAGAATGTCTTAAATCCACTTCCAACCATAATTTCTATTAATACTAACAGGTGTTATTAGCCAAAGATCCTTGATAATGAAAATTCTTAGTTGGGGAATACTCCATCTTCCCTCCCTATCTTCCATACAAATTCAAGCCACCAGCAAAGAAGACAACTGTACAGTGAGGCCCAATCTCTCTCACCATTTCATTAGGAACATTAAATCGCCACAGGAATCTGTTGCCCCAATGATCTTTTCTGGTTCCAGTCCTCTCTCAAAGCCTCGAGCGATATCATTGCTCTGCTATAAATAGAAGATAAAGAAAGATTACAGCTTAGAGTAAAAAAAAAAAAAGAAAACAAAACAAAAAAACCTGTTTCTCAGTTCAAAAAAGCACAATCTAAGTTCATTTTTGTCACCAATTCAAAGAATTCTTACAACTTAAGAAATACAGTAGTGGGCCAGCCAGTGACAGTGATGCCAAGAAATATTTTTGTAAGAAGATGCAGTTGTTCTTCCATACTCCTTCAAGGATTAGAAGCAGCCCTTAAAACTTGTTCATAGCCCTTAAGATATTCTGGAGGCACCATCTAAGAACTCTAACTCTCTTATCTCTAACTCTCTAATCTCCTTGATATTATGAATTGATACCCCTGTTGCTTCTGAGATAATAAACAAGTCCATGCTTACCTGAACTAAACCCTTTTTCATTTTACAAACTTCAAATATACCACCTCTCAATCTTAATTTTCTTAGACATTTAATTTGCCTTAACACTGACCAATATATATATATTTTTAACATTGACCAATATTTTAATACTTCTTTTCACACAGTCGTCTATACCGATGAAAGAACAGAGGTAAGAATCATTCAAGGCAGTACCATAAAACAGCAGATTTCTTTCAGAGCTCACAATACCCACACATTTGGGAGAAGAGGCCCTGGTCTGTGCCTATCCCCTCCTGATGTGGATGAGTTGTTAGCACTATAGAATAGAACTGGACAGTGACTTAAAACAAACTGGCAATTTTCTTGAAGATTATTCAAAATGTAATCATGCCACTGAGACAAGGCGCAGAGTCCGATTCGGGTGTGCTGGCACTGCTAAGTACAAAACGACATTTTAAACAAACCAGGTAATTTTAAAAACCTTATTATGGAACATAATGCAAACTTATCTAGTGGCAACATAAAAAAGATTTAGTAAGACTGCCCAAATGAACTAAATCTCCGATGTCTGATTTTCATAATAAAATCTCTTTGATCTGACATTCACCCTGCTTTTTTCTGAGAGATACAAAGTATTCAGGATCCAGGTGGTCCCCAAAGATACCAGAACCCACACTGGGAAGGAAATTCCATCCACGGATCAGGGAAGATACTGACTCAAAAACACAGCCTCTTTTGGGGACGCTTAAGGGGAGGAGGTTCCCAGATGTGCACACAGCTGCTCACAGCTGGAATGCTGGCGCACGAACTGAGTCATAAATCATAGCTGGCGGCTGAAAACAGTTTGCCACATAGAGAGGGAAGGGAAGAAAAATGTTCAAGCTGCTGAAAAGGAGCCGAGGCGAGGAAAATGCTAAAATCATCACACAGGCAGTAATCTTAAATCAGGCATAATGCCGACTAACAAATTTCTTCTGCAGTGGTCTAAAGAAAGAAACGCAATCCCCTCCTGTACCTTTAAAACATACAATCACCTATCTTCCTGGCTACCTACCTGACAGTCGCCAGCACTGCTGAGAATGCTGCCAGGGGCCCCAGGTGAACATTACAAAGGACGTATGGGGGGTTGTTTTCAAGGTCAGCAGCATCAGAACCTGGCCTAAGAATGAAACTCTCTATGTTGGCTAGCAGGTCTAAACCCAGACTGCTCCTTTTTGAAAGGACAGAAACCTTAGGTTGAGGAAATACACACTGTATGTCACAAATGGCTAGTCACAAGTCTTCTGCTGTGCTGTTTTTTGGTCTCTTTACTTAGTTAAAAAAATGAATCAAATGACAAAAGCCAGAATACAAAGGACTAATAAAAAAGAAAATAGAAAGAAAGGACCAAGTCTTAGCTCCTTAGAGAAGGCACTCTCAAATTTCTTATCAGTACACTATATCATAATGATATACACACCTTACCAGAATAGAGTGGTTTTAAAAGTAAGGTTGTAAAAAATAAAATTAATCCGGAAAACAAAGAGACACAAACCTAGAGTCCACTTCCACCTGCAGCCTCCAATCTTTCACTCTTACTTCAATTCTTTTTGGAACACTGTTCTCCCATTTTCTCTATCACTTGTGTCAGTCTTTTAAAATTCTGTGCCTAGGTCCAACTCACAGAAATCGGAATTTAACTAGTCTGGGGTGAATCTTGGGTACTGGGTCTTTTTAAGAACCCTCCCACCCTACACTGATGACTCTACTGTGCAGCCAGGGCTGAGAATGAACGTTCTAGAAAGATGGGTATCAAGCAGAATGAAGATAAATAGAGATGCTTATGGCAGTGATGCTAGAAGATTCAGAAGTGGACTTATGCTTTTATTTTATTAAACGTTAAAGGTATGATACATGCTTCACCACAAAAGGCTTCATAACCTTGAAATAAATGAAGGAGGGGGAGTGTGTGTGTCTGTGTGTGTACAAAGATAAAAAAGATACAGATGAAAAAAGAAAGGCAAGAACAGTGCTTATTTGAGTTACTTGAGAATTAATGATCAGAAGAACTAAAGCAACTACATCAAACCAAAATTTCATAAGCATACTTTTCAAACTGAACAATAAAGATTCAAAAGGAAGATGAAAATTTATTTGGAAAATGCAGAAATAATAGAATCAAAAGAGAATACACATGCCACTGAGCTGTATGCTTTAAAACGGTTAATTGTGGGGCACCTCAGTGGCCCAGTCAGTTGAGCATCCGACTCTTGGTTTTGGATCAGGTTGTAATCTCAGGGTCTTGAGATCAAGCCCCACGCTGGGCTCCGTGTTCAGGTGGAGTCGGCTTGTGACTCTATCCCGTCCCCCTCTGTCCTCCCCCAATAACTCGCACACGTGCTCTCTAATAAATCTTTTTTTTTTTTTTTTTAAAGATTTTATTTATTTATTTGACAGAGATCACAAGTAGGCAGAGAGGCAGACAGAGAGAAAGGGAGAAACAGGCTTCTGGCTAAGCAGAGAGTCCGATGCGGGGCTTGATCCCAGGACCTGGGATCATGACCTGAGCTGAAGGCAGAGGCTTTAACCCACTGAGCCACCCAGGCGCCCCTCTAATAAATCTTTAAAAAAATAAAAAGTAAAAAATAAAATGGTTGTGTGTTATGTGAATTTCACATCAATTTTAAAAAAGGGAATATAAAAGTTTGAAAATAAGTGCTATCTTTGAAACAAAAGGAAGAAAGACTTAGTAAACTTTTTTTAAAAAAAGATTTATGTATTTGAGGCTTAACCCACTGAGCCACCCAGGTGCTCCAAGAAGTACTAAACTTTTTAAAGCCGTTTTCTACCCTTAAAAACTTCACCAAGTCCCTCCCTTGCTAAGATAACTTACCTGCCTATTTATGGAGAAGATAGGGAGTAGCTGCTGTTTTACAGGGTCTTAATTTTGCCACTTTAATACAAGTCAGTGAAATATACAGTACATTTCTCATTCAGCCAGGAGGGGGCGCTATAGTTAATCAACACACCTCCCTGGAAGCTCTTTTGTTCAACAATTTACCTTGCAGGCCATCATTAGAACAGAAACCACCAAAATACCACTTGGGGAGTAAGGGGAGTCCAGCAAGAGGCAAAAACAACTGTTTGTGGGAAAAGGGGAGAAAGAAGCTTACCTCTCTCTTCTTTTTGGATTTGATATCATCAGCATTGTTTGAGAAATTGGATTTCCTCTTGTTGCTTTCCGACTTCTCCCTGGGTTTGTTGTTTTCGCCCTCCTTCATCTTCTTATACTTTTTCATAAACTCAGAAATTAGCTCAGGGCAATCCAAATTTTTCTCAGGTTCCCAAGTATTGTGCTCCCTGGGCACAAAGAATGGAAAAAAAAAAAAAAAAAAAAAGGAAAAGAATGAGGAGGGGAAAAAATCCAGTGCTTTCTTTTAAAGAAGACAAGTAGGCACAATGAAAAACAAAAAACAAAAACAAAAAAAACCACCACCACCAACAACAAAAAACCTACACTTAAAAGAGATAACAAATTTGATCCTAGGAATCTTGATAAGAGAAATGAAAAAATATATCCACAAAGAAACTTGCAATTTCTTGTAGCAGTATTTCAATAGCCAAAGACCGAAAACAATTCAAATGTCCATCAACTTGTGAATGGATGAATATATGTGGTACATTTATAAAGGAGAATACTATTCGGCAACAAAAGGTACACAATACTAATTAATACATGCCACAACATGAAAGAACCTCAAAAATAATATGCTAAGAAACCAGATACAAAAGACTATATATTGTCTGATCCCATTTATATGAAATGTAGGAAAGACACATTTAGAGACAAAATGTGGGATTGAGATTAACTATAAATGAGCTCAAGGGAATCTGGGGAAATTATTGGAATATCCCAAACTGGAGTGTGGTAATGGTTGACAACTCTATGAATTTACTAAAATTCACTGAATTGTATACTTTCAATGAATGAATTTTATAGTACCTAAATTATACCTCAAAAAACTTTTTTAAGACTCAAAATATGAATTCTGCTTTATAAAATAATGTGATTTCATATAATCGTCTATGCAAATCCTGAGAGAACAGTGTAACAAAGCATGCATCCCCAATTTACACTATCTTTAACTTGTTACTTACATTTTGAACAAATGTCAATAAATTATTTCAAGATTGGAAGTACTGCAAGATTTTTATTAAGAAAAAAGGTAGTATAAGGGCTTAAATCATTAGAATATAGGTGAACAGTAAGACGACGACTCAGACGTGGGATTGGAGTACATTAATTATGTTGTGGAACCAAGTCTACTGTTACCAGGCAGTCAAAACACATTTTTATATTAACAAAAAACAAATATTAATATTAATATTAATTTTTAAAACCCCGAATAACTGAATCTAACTAAACTTGAATCAAGGGAGTCCTATTATGAGGAAAACAGTTATTATTCACAAAGTTGTTTCTATTCCCGGCAGGGGTTTCAGAAAACCAAACTACCAACTACATTACAGGCTTATGGAATCAAATCGTGAGATGTACCTCCACAGGAAAAACCAGACCAGGCATCCTCTTCACTGCTAGCCAGTGGCAGAAGTTCCTTCGGTAAGGACTAGTTTATATTAAAGTATATCTGGAAATATATCATAGAAACAGTTTCTACAGTCCTTTCATTGACCTGGGTAAAAATTATTTAATGTATGTACTATCCATTTAAAATATTTTATTTTCGTTTTCAAATAAGGTATCTTTAGATGGGCGTGGTTTGAACACACACCATAACTAGACTCAAATAAGGAGAATAATGGAAAAATAAGGTATTTACTCTAGATTTAAAACTTTCTGCAAAAAGAGCTTGAGAATGAGACAAGATTTATTTCGAAATCATTTGAGCTAAAACTAGAAAAGCCTCTCCTTCATAGCTCTTCTTTCAGCAAAAGGCAAAAAAAAAAAAACAAAAACCCCACCTCATACAGTAACTTTCCCCCAAATCCACAAACCACATAGTTTCTTCTAGGATACCAAAAGAAATTAAGACACCAAAAGCAAGAGGCGTGCGAACACTGAACACAAGCAAGCAGACATGGAGGGAGAGGAGCAAATCTCTACGGATAGCAAGGAAAGACAGTCCTATAATGGGATTCTCTCTTTTCCTACCATATTGGTATTGCTGCTTCTACAACAACCAATTTCCACCCAAAAGACAGCATGGTATAATTTAGAGCCTATGCATTAGGGCCAAAGAAATCTGATACTAGATCCTTGGGCCAGCACTTACCAGTTATGCCATCTTCGGCAAATAGCTTCGCTAACTTCCTCATCTGTAAACTGAAAATACCTCTAAAGGCTGTTATGAGAATGAAAGAAAACACATGAGGTAGAAGAATCTGACCACTGCCCAACAAGCAGTAGGTACTTAGTTAGCTAATGCTAACAGGGCAAAATTTGTTTTAGTCTTTTAATGAAATCCTGGGCACTTCTGAGAAAGTAAGGACAAGTGCTTTAATCCATCCACCTCAAACTTCCTTTCCCTCTTTAATCTATTAAGTTACCAGTAACTCAAATACAGACACAGTCTCAAGAACCTTCGAAATGACCAACAACTTCCAATGGTGACTCAATGAGCCCAATAAACACCCTTAAAATCTTTCAATGTTATTTTAATTCCTATTTCTAGGTCTCTCAAACTCATAATTTCTCAACTCTAAAGGATGTGGTGGTATCACTCCTCTTCAGAAATATGGAGGGCATACTCTGATTGCTGTACTACCCACATTTCATGCTCTCTGTGCTAGAGATCCTAAGTATCCTGTAGTGTATGCACTGTCCACTTAAAATGCCAAAAGTGCTCCAAATGAGAAACGCTGACTTATGTAGTAAAATAACCTTAGGTATGTTCCAAAGGCTCCTGATTCAGACCTTTGTCCAAATGTACCATCAAAATTCGAACCATTTAGTACATATAAGTCCTACACGTTAAAGCTGTGATGTTCAGTGTGCTAACTACTGGCCACATGTGGCTAACTGAACACTTGAAATGTGACTAGTCTGAACTGAGATGTGCTATAAAATGTAAAATACATGAGATTTTTAAGACTCAGCATGAAAAAGGTAATGTAAAATATCTTAATTTTTATACTGTTAATGTTGAAATTTATACTATTAATGTTGAAAATCTGATACACTGATAAATTATTAAAATTTCTTTTGGGGCGCCTGGATGGCTCAGTGGGTTAAGCCTCTGCCTCGGGCTCAGGTCATGGTCTCAGGGTCCTGGGATCGAGCCCCACATCGGGCTCTCTGCTCAGCAGGGAGCCTGCTTCCCTCTTCCTCTCTGCCTGCCTCTCTGCCTACTTGTGATCTCTCTCTCTCTGTCAAATAAATAAATAAAATCTTTAAAAGAAAAATTTCTTTAATGCGGCCACCAGAAATATAGAATTCCCCATGTGCCTTGCATTATATTTCTATTCCAAGCCACTCCAAGAAGACTGTACCAGTTCCGACCAGTGCACTGGGTTCTGGAAAATCCATTATTTGTTATCAGGCATCCTGAGGAAGAGAATTAATCAAAAACTGAGGCAAGATGTCTAACAATTACACATATTTTACCTTTCAAGCTACCTCCTCTGTGCCTCAATGTGTCTAGTTGTGTTTATTCCAAGGAAAAAGAATAATCACCTTTAGCACTTGAGCTTAAAGCCAGTTATTTCCTAACAGACATTCTAGTCAATACTTCAGTATCGTTCTTAAAGCTCATTGACAAAAAAAAAAAAAAAAAAAAAGGGGGGGGGGGTTTAAGGTCTTCAAAAAAACAAAAACAAAAAGCCAGACAGATTTTATTAAAGTATTAATTGCAGAAATTAGGTGGTGTGTATCTGAGTGTTCAATTTCTTTTGCCTAAGCTATAGATTTGAAATTAAAAAAATAAATATTGGGAGGGAAAAAAACGTGGCCTCAGATTTAAGTTTCTCATTAAGAGGAATACTTCACTCTAGGTCACTTGTGAGATCCAAGGATAATTCTGGAAAGCTATGGGCTATGGAATGGATGACTTCTGCTTCAATGTATATATTTTAGCTTAGTTATATCCATAAGAATACTAACAGTAACAGTTTATACTTTTTTAAAAGAAGATTTTAAGTAATCTCTACACCCAACATGGGGCTCGAATTCACATTCCTGAGATCAAGAGTCACATGCTGTACTAACTGGGACAGCCAGGTGCCCTAATAATAGTTTATATTTATTTACACTGAGCTTACCTGTCAGTCTCTACATATACCCAACATCTCTAAGACAAGTACTATTTCCTCTTCCTATTTTATTGAGGAGGGAAAAGATTAAGGAACTAAACCAAGGTCACCCAGCTCATAAGTGGTGGAACAAGAATCTGGACCTAAGCAATCTGGCTCCTCGTCTAAGCACCTAACCAATTCATTATATTATCTCTCAAAAGCATTATCATTAGAACACCAGCTCGAAGGGAGAGCCTCTATTTAGTTTATTGCTGTGTCTTCTGACTCTTAGGAGGAGTGCAGGTGAGGAGAGAAAAAGACAAAGATGGCAGTGGCTCATGGGGAAGGAAACCAAAGGTGTCCACCTCTACAGAGTGCTAAGGCCTAAAGAAGACACTTACTCAGAAAAGCCTTTCCACTTCAGTAGATATTCCACTTGCCCCTTAACTACACGCCTGTCTAGCACCTTCTCGACAACATACTCCTCCTCATCCTCTGAAGAAGAACTGTCAGCTGTCCGCTTGGTTTTCTTTCCCATGTTGCACGCTGTTCCACCTGAAGGACTAAGGCCACCGGGTTCCTGCAAAGAGGAAGGACAAAATGATTGAAATCCATGCAAGGAATTAAAACTTTGTCTTTTCTTGATGGAATGCAGAGGGGATAACACAAAGTTGCCATGTACCCTTCTCTTGGGTCTTGAAGCATTCTATAGATGGTTCCTAAGAATATAAGAAGAAAATGGTCAATCCCCACTTATCCAAAAACAACTTTTTCTTCAGCTCACACGACCAAAATCATTATTATACACACAACTAACTCCTCTAATTTCAGATTCCAAAAGACAAGTGATGTGGGTATGTTACTCCTGGGTACTTCTATAACTGTTAACAAGCCAGGATCTCAAACAAATGCAGAAAACTACCAGTTAAGAGAACAGTGACAAAATTAAAACCTTACCTTTAAGGTGAATAAGGTTCTTCATAAAAATGAAAAAAGAAAAGCCCCAAAATGTAACCTTCCCCTGCTTTGAGGATCTTGACTAGTCTCTTGGCAGCACAAAAAGGCCTGCTCAGGCATCTTTCTCCACTGTCTTCAGTGACTTGGTATACCTTTCCCTCAAACAAACTGAGCTTGTCCCTAGAGCATCCATCAGTTCACAAAAGCAAGGCTGGCATCTCAGATACATGAAGTCTTTTTTTCACTTAGGGATGGCAGAGAGGCAAGAACAACAACAAATACTTTTAGTCCAAAAACTAAAAAAATTCAGTAATTCTCATGGCTCAACTAATCCAAATGGTTAAGGAGGTACCTCTCTTAACTGGAATTGACTTTGGGCCAAAGGAAGAAGAGAAGAAAAAAGAAGTCTGGCCCCAAACTCACATCAACACGAAGCCTCAAAACACAGAGGAACCATTCATAGGCCCAAGGAAAGCTGAAGCAAAGCAACACAAATGGAAATTGAGTTAAGCTCAGAAATATGCACAACCAGGGGGTACTCAACACAGATCTAGTTTTTAAAATTCCCACATTGTTGTTTCCATAATCACTTTTAAGAATTCTTTAACCAAGTTAAATGGTGCCTACAGTCTGGATTATAGAGTAGCAGAACTGTTTTCTTAGCTGAACTCCATTTTTATTCTTCCGTAATCTTAAAAGATTTTTTTTTCAGCACTCTCTAAAAATATTTCCATCCTGACTAGAAGATGACTCCCAGGAACAGGGAAGGCCACTACTAATCTCAGAATTGTGTTCAAGTCAAGTAACATAAAAAGTTGCATTTATCCATTTACTTCAAGTTAGCAAAATTTAAGGAATTATTCCAAGAACATCTAGTTGGAAACCGTATCTCCAGAACCTATTAGCAATAAATAGGTCTGCCTACCCAAAAAAACTGACTGTACCCATTACTCCCCTATAAAAAAAAACTTAAGTTTTTATTAAAGTACTTTATTCAGAAGAGGGGGTGGAGGGGGAGAATGTAGACAGGAGTTTCAAAATAATTTTCCCATGAATTTAGAAGAGATTCCTAAGCTTCAAGAAAAAAAAAATCTTATTTATTTAAAATACAAACAGCCTCCAATCTCACCAGAGACAGGAAATGTCATATTCCAGGGAGAGTACCCCACCCCCACCCCCACTCACCTTGGAATTTCCGGGAGCTGAGCAGTTTAGGTCAGAGCGCTGGGGTTAAAACCAGCCCCGGGTTAGATGCATGCAGTTAAGCATTGTGGCTATGGCCTCCCCTGCCTCACGAGGAAAAACAAGGATTTACATATGTGTTCTTCAGTTTGAGGGAGGAAAGAGGAAAATCTCCCTTTATACCTTCATGCAGAAGAGGAGCCCCAAAGGTAGAAGATGAATGGGGGTTCCCTTCTTTACCTACCGGATCGCCCCAGTTCTTTCTTTCCCTCTGGGCTAACAGGAGGGGCCTCCCCTCCCAGGTCTAGGGCTTGGCGGGCTGGCAGCTCCCCCGCCCCCACCCAGCTGCCTGGGAGCCACTGCGCAGCTGTCCCAGCCCGTTACCATGGCAACTGGCAGCAGTACTAGACTAAGGGGGGGGGGGTGCGGAGAGGCAAACGGAAAAGTTAAAAGGCTTAACTTTCCTTTTCAGTAAAGACTGGGTGGAGAAGTTGGAAGGTACTCTCCTGGCCTCAAAACCAAGGCATTCAGAACTCAAGGGAATTGGTTCTTGGGTTTTAAACCCAAAACCTGTGCTTATTCCTCTAAGAGCACCGGGAATTAATCAATAGCATTTTAAGATCATCTAACAGGATTATAGCTCAACTGGAAGGGGGAGGGGAAAAGCTAGGTCCCTCTACAACAGGATCAGTACAAACCCCTCACCCCTAACCCAGCCCACCAGAAGCACTTTAAATAAGGCCTTTTCTACCATCTGTCACTGAACAGTTAATTAAAATTGCTTGGGGGGATGCGGGATAACATGAAGGGGGGAAGGGAAGTATTTCAAGATACTCTACAACTTTCCTTCTTTGAGGGATTATTAGATACAGAAACAGAATCCAGACACTTGAAGCACTACCAAAGAACCTATCCACTGAAATTACAAGTAGAAAAAAATGTAATCCTTAAGTAGTTTTTAAAGAGGAGAGCAGTCCAGCCACAACCATTATTGTTTTATTAAAACCACTTTTCCGGGGGCGCCTGGGTGGCTCAGTGGGTTAAGCCGCTGCCTTCGGCTCAGGTCATGATCTCAGGGTCCTGGGATCGAGTCCCGCATCGGGCTCTCTGCTCAGCGGGGAGCCTGCTTCCCTTCCTCTCTCTCTGCCTGCCTCTCTGCCTGCTTGTGATCTCTGTCTGTCAAATAAACAAATAAAATCTTTAAAAAAAAAAAACACTTTTCGGGGTGGGGGGTGCCTGAGTGGCTCAGTGGGTTAAGCCTTGGCCTTCAGCGGCTCAGGTCATGGTCCCAGGGTCCTGGGATGGCGCCCCTCCTGGGGCTCTCTGCTCAGTGAGGGGCCTGCTTCCCCCTCTCTCTGCCTGCCTTTCTGCCTACCTGTGATCTCTGTCAAATAAATAAAATCTAAACAAAAAACAAAAAACACTCCTCAGGGTGCCTGGGTGGCTCACTCAGTTAAGCATCTGCCTTGGGCTCAGGTCATGATTTCAGAGTCCTGGGATCAAGCTCTGCACAGGGCTCCCTTGCTCGGTGGGAAGTCTGCTTCTCTCTCTCCCTTTACTCCCCGCCCCTTCTTCCCGCTACTACTCTCTGCTCTCTCAAATAGATAAAATGTAAAACAAAAAACAAAAACCACTTTTCATTAATTGTTATTGTAATATTATGAAACAAATTTTTAAATAATTACTACCCACCCAAAGCATTACTATATAGTAATTTAAAACTCCATATATCAATAATCCCTAATACTTGAAAAAAGGATTGTGATAAAGAAGAGAGCTACTTAGAGACTTGCAGTCCCATAAAGTTTCTTTTCTCCTGGCCCTAAAGACCATTTTGGAGAGCTCCAAAGCCTTCCCTCTGCTTTAGGATTCTGGTCTTTAAGACAGCTTTAGGCAGCTGTCATAGGAGAGTAAGAAAAAGGGATAATCAAAAGCAAAGACCCCAACTGAGAAAAAGGTGGAGAACAGTTATTATTTTAGTTATCAAACAGAAGAAATTATAGGGTATGAGAGTAGACAGTTTTTAACTACAGAAGATTTCCTCAAATTTGAATATACCTGTCAGAAAAATCTCTGGGTAAAAAGGTCTTTTTGGACTTTTCCTAACTTTTAATACTTTTGTAGTTAAGGGATATAAAAACAATGGGAAGGAATTAGATCAGGGTTCTCACTGAGTGATCAACTTGCCATGTATGATCTTGAGTAAATAATTTGAGACCTAACCTCAGTATCACTAAAATGGGCCAAATCCCCACTGCCTACCTCCTAGGGAAACAGTGAGTTTAAATAGAGACCAAAGAGCTGGTAAGTCCCCCAAAGAGAAGCTTTTGTAAAAATATAGGGCCAAATTCAACAGCAGCAGGAAATATGTGACCTTCCAAATTCCTAAGCCGGTAAACCTTATCACATGCAGTAACTCCTGCAGCTCAAAATGTTAGTAGACAGCAAGAAAGAAGGGGGAGTATCTTTGTTAACTGGTACGGATACGGGTAAACTAATAAAGCTTCGGAGAATAAGGTACATTCTCTCTTAAGGGTAAAATACTTATTCTTACTCCCTAACACTCAGAAAAGCACTGGAAATGGCAATATAAAAAGACTAACAGTAATTCTGTGAAAAGATAAAGGAAAAAATGACAGCAACATTATTATTTTAGTGAAACCTTTCAAGGAAAAAAAAAGTGAAATCAACAAGGAAAAGGACAAAAATATTCTGGTGTCTACCCCCTTCCTAAAACATCCGGAAATAATATCAGATCAATTTCCTCCTTTCCCCTCTTCAAGAACTGCCTAAAGGGCACTCAGCTAAGGTCCCTTTCTCTTTGGGAAATGGGTTTTGTAACAGCTGACAAATCAAATTGGGCCTGATGCCAGAAGTCAGAGTCCAACCATAATATTCTGTAAAGAATGGCACGCAACTGTCTTGTAAATCTCTGGGACAGTCACAGATCAGAAGCTGGCAAGGATGACGACATAGTTCTGATGGAATGTGTCTTATCTTAACCTTGAAGTTACAGATCTGCTCAGGAGCAGCAGTAAGAAATGAGAAATGCACTCAGACATCGGAGGGGACATAATTTTCTTTTAGACAGTGCGACCCAGTGTATTAGGGTCAAATGAAACACAAAGCCAGACGGACAATTTAAGGGCTAGAGCCTGTACCAGATAAAGCATCAAGACTGGTGGTTCACGCTGAGCTTGAGAGAAGGGAGCGTTCGAGTATGAGAAATGAGGCATGGCTGGCAGGATGATGGAGTGATTAAGGTAGAATCCCGATACCATGACGAAGGAAGAGAGGATGAGCCTCCGAGTGCAACCCTATCCTTGTGGAAATCTCCATAGGAAGGGGTGAGCAGCTTCTCAAGTTTCTAGAGTCTTTCAGACGTAACAGCTCTCAGCCCTTTTGTAACGACACAGAATGACTCTCTGGTAAAGGTATCAA